CCAGAGTTTCTGAGCCAACACTCTGGTTGCTAAGCAAGAGTGTTGTTAAGTGAATTTCACCCCATTTTACAAGTTGGCCACGCCCATCCAGTCACATGACTGCCAAACCACTCCCACCCAGTCACATGGCCAGCAAGCCACTCCCACAAAGCAGGCCACACCTACAGAAGGGATTCTAAAAAAAATTGCACCACTGCCCTGTAGATTTTAAAATCAGAGGTATTTAGAGACTGATACCAATATAAAGAGAGAATAATGCTTCCATAACCCAGGAATTGTCTGGGTTTGAACCATAACAAGCAAAGTGGGTGCCATCCAGTCTTCTCTTGTTCATTTATTCTCGGCTCCCTTTGTCCTTCATTCTTCTCCTTGTGTCGTGACAAGCAAGCTGACAGGTGTGTTACGCAGCGGGTGGAAGTGGTGAACAGATGGGACAGAAAGAAGGATGGGGAAATATGGAGAGTAACTTTCTGATTGCAGCCTACCCAGGAACTGAGTTTCTCTGTACATGCATACAAAAAAAACCAACCCCAAGTAACTTCCTGAAAGGAAAAAAGAAATATTTCCCAGCTAACTCTAAGCTTATATAACCCAGGAGCTCTCAGGTAGGAAATTGCTTTTCTTAATATATTTGAAGGGATGCAGTGTTGTTGATCAGAAAGGTCAGCAGTTCAGGGGTTTGAATCCCTAGCGCCGCGTAACGGAGTGAGCTCCCGTTACTTATCCCAGTTTCTGCCAACCCAGCAGTTCAAAAGCATGTAAAAAATGCAAGTGGAAAAATAGGAACCACCTGTGGTGGGAAGGGAACAGCATTCCGTGGGCCTTCGGCATTGAGTCATGCCGGCCACATGACAGAGACGGCTCTGGACAGCGGCTTCGGCTTTGAAACGGAGATGAGCACCGCCCCCTAGAGTTGGGAACGACTAGCACATATGTGCGAGGGGAACCTTTACCTTATTATATTTAAGTTTGGATCACACATAAAACCACCCATGTTGGCCAAAACATGATTTTATTCTATAAATATCTTCAATCTTCTTTACGATCATGCTTTTCGAAATCTAAACGTTGAGGCTAAATTAGAAGTTACAATAGGTCTGATTCATACTTTGTACTAAACTCATAACAGCCATGATTTGCAAATTATATTGACTGCATTCATATATGTACTACAATGGAGTTGGTTAGGCTGCTAGTGGTGAGCACCATGTCCATCTGAAATAAGACCTCGTCCATTTACAGTGCAGAGGGTCAGGCGGATGAACAAGTGAATCTAGTGCAGTGGTGGGTTTCAAAAAAAATTTGAATCTACTCTGTGGGTGTGGCCTCCTTTGTGGGAGTGGCTTGCCGGCCATGTGACCTGGTGGGAGTGGC